CAAGATGGCTTATGTGAAGTACTTCGAATATCACAGAAAACTAAATTCATGTTAATTCTAGCTAATGGTGGCATTCTTTAAAGGTATGGAGGGTGTTTACGGGCAAAGTGGGGAGGTGGTAAAGACAAGGGGGCAGGAAACAAGGGAGGGGAGTTCCAATTGCCACACTGTGAGCTGTTGAGATTCATACTGTGGGTGACAAAATTTTGAAACATATTTTTGATGATTCATGCATTTTCATTACTTCATTACTCCCATCTGTTTTCCGTCAGAAAGGCCTTAAAATGCAAACGGTCCTGTTGAATGGAATCTGGGAGCAATGAGGAAGGAGGACCCAGGAAGGATGTGTCCCCGTGTGCAGCCAGCCTGGGGGAGAGAAGCCTGAGACGGCACAGGATGGGGGGGCGCTCAGAGGAAAGTGAGAAGTGGGTAGAGTCCTTGATCCCTGTCAATGGGGAGATGGAGAGCCAGAGAATGGGCTTGGGGATGAATAGGATGAATTTGAGCCTCTCCAGGACAGACAGACACGACACACACATGCACTTACACACACACACTCACACACATGCTCACACGGGCACCCCTACCTGGGGCTTTTCTGGTGCTGTTCACCAGGAGATGCTGTTTTCATGGGGGCCCCACAGCTCCTGGGCAGAGCAAAGGAGGCGGCCGCTCTAAGCGGAACATCTTTAGGGGAGGGGAGGAGAGCTGGGGTGGGGCTGATGGGGAAACACGTGTAGGTGGGGCTAAACCCAAGGGAAGTGGAGGGCATTGAGGCAGGCCCAGCATCTTCTCCACTTATCCTATCCCGCTGTGTACTTGGGGCCTGGAGCAGCCTCACTGCATTCTGTCCAGCCTTCAGGGGCCCCCAGGGGCCCCCAGGAGCAGCTGACTCTGGTGGTCAAATGTGATCGAGAGGAGCAGCTCTCCTGCAGGGACACCCCAACCGCACTGTAGGCTGAGCCAGAAATGCTCTGACACACACAGGTTCCCCGTGGTCAGGGCCACCCTGGGCACCACAGCTGCCTGGACAGGACCTGCTCACAGTAAGGTCTCCCATGCAGCCCTCGGGGTGACCCAGCCTGGGGCACAGACGGGGACTTGTCTGAAGAAAGCCCGCATGCCTCTCCCTGGAATGCCCTCCCCGCTCCATGCAGGCAAGGGCTCACAGTCAGGCTTTCACCCTCCTAAACAGCCCATGTGCCACCCCAGGCCCGTGGACCAGCTCATAGTGAGCAGTGACATCGGTTCAGGCGATCTGAATGCCACTCCCGCCAAGAGTCCAGGGGGACATCTGACCTCCCAGAAGCTTCTTCAAAATGCATTGTCCCTGGGTGACACACAGTCACTCGGTGAAGACGTAAGTATTTAATAATCATTAGGAACGTGCTTCTCCGGGCACCCTTCTCTAGACACAGCTTGAGACAGTGCTTCCTTGCCAGGGGAAATTCAGTAGGCTTCTATTCTCCAATGGCTTCCCTGCGCACTTCAAATAAAGCCCCAGATTGCGCCACGGCCCCTCCCTCTCCCTGAAACCCCATGCAGCTCTCCCATTCTCCATGTTAGCTACTCCGGGCCTCTTGGTAGCTGGAACGCCCCATGTTCCCCTCAACTTTATGTTCCCCTCTGGCAGTACCTCTCCCGAGGTAGCTTCTACGCTGTCTCGGCTCAGTCGCTCACTCCTCTGGGAAGACGCCCATGCCTGTCAGTCTTTGCCATATCTCCCTTTTCTATGCTCCCAGCACCTCCCATATTCCACTTTGATAGCGGTTGTCACTGTTCTATTTTGGAATTATATCTATCTTCATTGCTGGACTGCACGTTCCCTGAGGACAAGAAACACATCTATCTTGCTCACCACAGCGTATGCAAGGCTGGCATATATATGTGTTTTCTTTTCTTCTTCTTCTTTTTTTTTTTTTTTTTTTGAGACAGTGTTGCTCTGTCACCAGGCTGGAGTGCAATGGCGTGATCTCAGCTCACCGCAACCTCTGCCTCCCGGGTTCAAGCGATTCTCCTGCCTCAGCCTCCCGAGTAGCTGGGATTACAGGTGCGCACCACCATGCCTGGCTAATTTTTGTATTTTTAGTAGAAACAGGTTCTCACCATGTTGGTCAGGATGGTCTCGATCTCTTGACCTCGTGATCCACCCGCCTCGGCCTCCCAAAGTGCTGGGTTCACAGGCGTGAGCAACTGCGCCGGCCTATATATGCTTTCTAATGGCTTGGTGAATAAATGATGAAATGCTCCTGCCCACCTCCTTGTGAAGAAAGGGTGGACAAGGCCACCTGCCCAGCCTAAGGATGGAGGAAGCGTGCAACATGCACACTCACAGAAATGGCATCCACACCTTGAGGCACTGGAGGCATGTGGAGAAATAGCTGCAGGCCTATGACAGACCTCGGGTGTTCATTAATAATGACAGCCGGGTGCGCTGACTCATGCTTGTAATCCCAGCGCTTTGGGAGGCTGAGGAGGGAGGATCACTTGAGCCCAGGATTTTGAGAACAGCCTGGGCAATATAGTGAGACTCTGTCTCTACAAAATAATAATAATAAATAATTTGCTTCCCTGTCACTGCAACACCCTCCACTTGCATGTCCCAAAAAAGCAGAATTGGTCAGCTATAAAATGCTGTTAGCCATGCCCCTTCCTCCTTTCCCATCTTTAAGCACAGTTGCTGAATTACTGCACCTAATAGTAATAATAAGAGCTAACATTCATTGAGCACTTACTGTGTGCCAGGCAATATTATAAGCGCCTCACATACACAAACTCCTTTAACCCTCACAACAATCCCAGGAAGTCGTCATAATCATTATCTCCATTTTCCCCATCTACTATTAGGAGTTCAACTGCAAATAGCCACACAGAGCACCTTTGCATAAAACTGCCCCCAGCATGACTGCTCACACTGTCGTGAATATCTTTCTTATGAAAACCCCTGCGGCAAATTCCTCAGTGGCTCAGAGCTAAGAGAAAGTTGACCCTCTTGGTCTTCTAGGCTTCTTGTCTCCTTCCTTTCAGTGGATAGTGATAGTTAAGTAATTCATGAAGTTTCTTTCTTTCCTCTGGCTGCCAGGAAGCTCAGAGATAAAGCTTATTGTTTATTTTAGTATCTTCTGCTCTCCTGCTAATCTCGGTCACCTCCCTCTCTGCTTTCGCTGAATTTATTCTCCTTCTATCTTTTTTTCCCGGGGTGCCAGATTTACCTGGACTTGTGTTTATGGTAAGATACCCCAAAACCTTTTGCAAATAATGTAGGGGTTCAAACATCATCATTTTAAAAAGCAGACTCTGTTACTTTGTTCTGGGCAGGAACAAATGTCCAGCCCTCTCAGCCTCTACCCACAAGCTGCTGCTTCGTTCCCTCCCTTTAGCTACACTCGCCAAATTACCATCCCCCTCCCAAGCATGTAAGCCTTCTTTTTCAGGTTCTGAGATGATGCATGATGGGCACCCTGGCATCACAGCTGCAGTGTTTGTGGACTGCCTCTGCCACAGGACCTCTAGGGTCTGCTTCCCCCATGAGTGAGATAAGGGGACTGAATTCCATCAATGTTCTCAGACTTTTTAAACTTTTCCTCCACAGATTCTTCCTCAAGCACATCTCAGCCAGCCAAAGATTGTGTTGAATTTTATGTTCCGTGGGTTTCTTTCCAAATGGATATGGCGAACATATTAAAAATGCTTTCTCAATCCACAGTCTTTCTCCCAGCCCCACTGCAGCGTTGTTTAATGCCCAGCGTTGATTCCCGTTTCTTCTGGTGATACATCCCAATTTTCCTTTGGGGAATGACCATTTATCCCTTTGATGCAGTCTTAGAAGACCTTTTGGTGAAGGTTCCTGCCTTTCCTAGCCAAAGGGTGAGTACACGAGCCACCAGTCCAAGTGGTTGCTCTCTCCCTGGAAGGTGACTTTGGAGCACTATGTCCCAGAACCTAAGCATGGTTCTTTTTTTCTTTTCTTTTCTTTTTTTTTAAGATAGGGTTTCTCCATGATGGCCAGGCTGGTCTTGAACTCCTGACCTCAGGTGATCCACCCACCTGACCTCAGGTGATCCATCCATCCATCCTTCCAAGATTACAGGCGTGAGCCACCGCACCCCGGCTCCTAAGCATGGTTCTTAAAGATGATGCCTTAAGGATGCATCCATTAGTTCCTGCCACCCAGACCCCAGAGGCTACCTTGTTCTCTGCACTTTTGCAGGGTATTCAGCTTCTCCTTTAGTTCTCCAAGTTGAATAGCCTCTCAATAAATTTCTGTTTTGCTTAAGATAGTCAAGTTGGATTCTGTTGCTTACAACCAAAGAACTCTAGTTGAAACACAACTCCCCATACTAAGAATTATTGATCTGGATTATATTTCAAGTCTCCTTTTACCTTTAACAATCTGTGATTCCAGCAACCTCACATAACATAAATTACAGGACATCTAAATCGAGATTTAGGAGAAAAAAAAGAAAAACCTCAAACCCCCAGATAGAAGAGAATAAAAGTTTTGTAGTAGATTGAATAATTGTCTAACAAATATCCACTGCCTCCCCCTCAAACTTGAAGAGAGACACATACTTCTCTAGCCAATTTGTGTTGCACTTTAGCATGTGATTTACTGTAGCCAATGGAATGTGAGTGCGAGAATGTGCCATCTTTGAGCCTAGGCTTTAAGAGTTCTGTGTTTCTGCTCACCCCTAGGAGTTTGCAACCTCCCCCAGGAGAAGAACATGTTTTGGGAAAAATGGGAGTCATATGGAAGTGACTCGAACCCAACTCTCAGCCTGGAGTCAAGCTCAGTCTAGAGAAGCTGAACTCTAGACAACCTCCAGATGCATGAGTAAGAAATAAAGGCTTGCCATGAGGCTTCAAGATTTTTTTTTTTTGTTATGCAGCATCATTACAGCCGTAGCTGACTGATACAGATTTGTCATAGCTTCAGTTTACTTTAAGCCTAACAGTTTTCAGAATCTCCAAGTCTAGGGAGGGATTAGTAAAAGTCCTACCTGCCACTTTGACCTGGTTGGGAGCGCAGGACCTGCAGGGGATCACCTGGAACTCTTCTGCCTGGTACATGGAGTAATCAGTACTTGCAATGACCAGGGTGTCTCCAGGCTTCCACGACTGTACATTATCCTCCAGGTTCAGAATGGTGCTGTTCACATTGGTGTCAATGGTGACTGTGAGTTTGGGCCTCACTGCAACCCAAAACAGGAAAGACTGAGACAGAGCCCTTTGCCCTTGGCAAACGCTTGGCTACCTCTTTTTTCCCTTCCCCTCCCTAAATAAGTAAATGCCAGGTTTGCCTATCCAAAACCCAAATCACTAGCTTACTCCATCCCACTCTTGGTAAAGGTTTTTGAAGTCAACAAAAATCCTACCAGAAAAGAGTCATTCATTAGCTCCGGGCAGAGGAATTTTCCACTAACTTCTTAGCTGGAGTTAAATGTGGCTGCCTCACCCCACCCACTTTGCTAAAGATGTAAAACAAATACAGTTCCTCTCAACTATTATTTTCGGTAGCCATAAACCTCTCCCCCTAAACTTTCATTCCTAATGACTGCCTTCTGGAGATGGCCAAGTGCCTCCGAGAACAACCCGACCATTTCCAATCTTTTCTAACAAGCACCTTTGGAACTGGGCTTAAAATAATAGCACCCAAAAAAGCATAAAGCTGCACCTCTCTGCAGGGGAGGACAGCTCTCTCCATCTGCACCCTGGCTGTCTTGGACCAGGCCCTTCCCCTTCCTGAAAGACTTATGGGCAGGGTGGGGTTCTGCTGTCTTCTGCCAACTCCAAGGCCCCTCCCACTGCTTCTGTGTCACAAAAGTACTCTCCTCTGGGAGCGCTGTTTCACTGAGACATCTGGAGGTTGCCTGCCTAGCTGCCAGTTCAAGGAACCGAGCCGCAGCTGCACCTCCGTCCCCGACAAGGGGCTGCTTACCAGGCTTCCCACACAGGAACCTCACACGGTAGCTCCTGCAGGCTCGGCCCCGGTCGTAGCAAGCAAACCTGTAATCTTGGCCTTTTTTGTAGACAACCTCGGTGTTGAGGTTAACTCCATCCATTGTAGTGGCCTGGGAGTGGTACAGAAATTACAGAGCAAAGTCATTTTTATTTAATCAAGAAGGAAGGTGATGATTCACGTTCTAAACATGTACTCAGAAGTCTAAAATTGTCCCTGCCGCAACGCTATATACGATGGCCTGAGATGATTATCCCAGTGATCACCCCCATCGGCTTTGTTATGAGAAAGACAGCCTAAAGTCTTGGAATAAACGCCTGGCCTGAGGTCCTACAGTATATCGAAATGAGGGATTTACTGCTTATGGCTGGGTGAACACTTTACAGGGCATCTAGAATAAGTAGGTGCTCTTTTAGGATCTCGGCTGACCACGTTTTACAATGCGCACCACCGCTGCAGCACCATGAACAGTGGCCAATGGACCCAATGTATCTCCCTGCATCCCATGGGAAAGCGTCTTTAAAAAATGCTGATGCCCAGGCCCCATCCTTGGAGTCTCAGATTTGATTGTGTCTGGGGTGCGGCATGGGCATCTGGACTTTTTTTTTTTTTATCATTTAAAAAATTTACTTCATTCTTTTTAAACTTTTATATTTTTTATAATTTTTGTTCTTTTAAAGAGACGGGGTCTCGCTATGTTGCCCAGGCTGGAGTGCAGCGGCTATTCACAGGTGCAATCCCACTACTGATCAGCACGGGAGTTTTGACCCGCTCCATTTCGGACCTGGGCCGGTTCACCCCACCTTAGGCAACCTGGTGGTCCCCCGCTCCCTGGAAGTCACCATATTGATGCCGAACTTAGTGCGGACACCTGATCGGCATAGCGCACTACAGCCCAGAACTCCTGGGCTCAAGCGATCCTCAGCCTCCCGAGTAGCTGGGACTACAGGCACGTGTCACCGTGCCTGGTGGGCATCTGGACTTTTAAAAGTTGCCCAGGTGATTCTAATGGGCAACAAAGTTTGAGAACCACTTTTGTAGTTATAAGGCGAGATGTTTACCTATATCATGTCATCTCATCTTCATAGCAAAACTATGAGGCTGCTGTTAGTTTTATAGATAAGGAAACTGATCCTCAGAGAGGCTTGGTCACTTACCCGGGATCACATAGCCAGGTGGTGGCAGAGCTAAAACTTGAACCCAGACTTCTGTAACTACAATGCAATACTTCTAAGCCCCACCCACTCTTGCCCTAAGGCGCTAGCCACCTACTGTCCTTTGTTCAAATGTCTGCCTCCTCCCACTACATAGTGGGCCCTGGGACGGCAAGGAGCAGGTTTTTGCCCCCTTGTCCCCAGCATTCAGCCCAGGGCCTGGCATACAGTGAGGTCTCGGTGGATGAGGGCTGGCTGGTGAGCAGCCATAAGGCCAGGTGGAGAATTTAGAGAGCAATTCTCCTCCCTACCAGGAGGGCATGATCCCTGCCAGCTGGGGCCCATCCCAGAGCCAGGGTGTGTCTGCATCCTGACCGTGACTGTCATTCAGAGACATGCAATTTAGAGCAAGGCTGCAGCTGTTGTCATCTTTGGCATAGAGACCAAAGGGACCAGACGGGGGTAATAAGGAAGGACAGTACAGCCGATCAAAAAAAAAGAAGAGACTTTTTAGGAAACATTGTTCTGAACCCAGCAGATCCGTTATCTTTGGCTTAGAAGGAGAGCCATGTGGATGTGAGTTCAGCCACAATGAAAACTCAGCCATTTCCTGCAAAAACACACTCACACCCACTATCTCAGATGGTCTCTGCAACAGCCAGAGAGACAGGGTTGCAAACTTGCTTTTAGATGGAGGTCAACGCTGATGCTCAGAGGGATTCAGGTGTAAGCTCGAGGTCAGTTAAGGTAAGCCTCCTGACATGTTCCCCTGAGGCAAGCATGTTCATCAGTGGGAGATGCCACAAGATTGAGAACCGAGCCTGAGAGTACCACGGAATGGGCTGGAGATTTCTCCAGGTGCTACATCCAACAGTAATCTCACGAGAACATCTACCCAATTCTGCTGCTTTTCCTTTTTTCCTTTTTCTATCCTAAAGAGTGACCTCAGTTTTGGAGAATAGTAGAAAGGAATCCACCATAATTCACAGAAACAGATCTTTAAGTAGACTGAGTTTACTGTTATTTCTGATAATAATAATAACAAAATAATTATCAATATAACTAATAAATTTATTTCATTTCATTGATTTATTGACTTGAGACAGAGTCTCACTCTGTCTCCCAGGCTGGAGAACAGTGGAGCCATCTTGGCTCACCGCAATCTCCGCCTCTTGGGTTCAAGCCATTCTCCTGCCTCAGCCTCCCGAGTGGCTGGGATTACAGGAACCTGTCACCACATCCACTAATTTTTGTAGTTTTAGCAGTGATGTGGTTTCACCACATTGGCCAGGCTGGTCTCAAACTCCTAACCTCAGTTGATCCACCTGCCTCGGCTTCCCAGAGTGTTGGGATTATAGGCATGAGTCACCGTGTCTGGCCAATAAATTAATTTTAAATAATAAAACATTTATGGGCCACTCTCAGTTTGCACATTTCATTGCATTGAATCCACAAAACACGCCCATGAGGAAACAATTATTATCCCTATTTTTACATGTGAGGAAACTGAGACACTAAGTAACAAGACTGTGAGTGAGGTACCCAGGGCACCAAATTTAATTTAAAATCCACTCTTAGGGCCATGCAAAGTGCAGAGTTGGCACTGGAGGGAGCGGGCTTTCTTAAATTCTGCACTGTGGACACCTTGCTGACATGCCAAAGCTCACAAGTGGTAGCACTGTGATCTCTTTGGCCAACTTAGATCTCTCTGGCTTCAAAATATGTTTTTGTTACCATCAGGCTGCCCCCCAGCCACTGCACTGGCTGCTGTGGGGGACACATAGACTGCCTGATGTCCCCCAAGGAAATCTGGGTCCAGTAGATCCCACTGGCCTTGAAGGGTAGCTGGGTTTTAACAGAGAAGGTAAAAGGCAAGAGGATTTTCAGCCAAGGAGAACTAAACGAAAGGCAAGACATAGAAACAGTGTGTTTTTGCTATTTTTTTTTTTTTTTTCAGAATCACAAAATATCAGATCTTAGAAAAGCTTTTCTTGAGGTCAGCTGTGCAGTATTCCTGCTTCCTCTTTCTTCCCAACCTGCCTCCTCCAATCTTGCCTAGGTTGCAAATGTCCTTGACACTCCCCGGCCCAGAGGCTCTGACTATGTCAGCGCATGGCAGGTATCCCGGGACCCACTGTGTATGGCACGGAGCTGGGCACTGGGGGCAGGCACTAGCATGAAGAGGAGCACGTAAGAGCTCAGGACCGGGGAGGTGGGGGCACCAGCTGACCAGAGAAAACTGCATTTTAGCAATTGTAGCAAAAATGAGCACGTGGGAAGTTCTGTTTCATTTCAGTCTCTCCCTGGATTAATTAACAAGGGCATTCAGCTTTTGGCTGATACATTTGTCACCTTCTAAAAAGGAGGGAATCCTGCCTTTCTCACCTCTTGTGAGCCTAGACAAGACTGGCTTTGCTTTTCTGGTTTTGGAAACATCTAGGATCATATTCTCCATCACCATTTTTACCTTTGATGGATGTAAAGAGATCCTCTAGCTAAGTCTGGGGATGCTCATTGGTGAAAGATCGGTGGCAAGAGTTAGGAATAAGCCTGATCTCTCCAGCGCGACAGCACCTTCTCTTCAGTAGAGATGGAGGCTTGACTTCACCATTGGAGGCACGTGACTCTCACCTTTTAGATGACCAACTCAGTAGACCATGGTTTTGCCAAGAAAAATCCAAGGGTCTTATTATGGAATTGGGAGTTCTGAAAGCTTTCATTGTGGGAAGACTGGCCTGAGCTTCTGAGTAAGGGGACCGCACTGCTGTTGGGTCTTTTATTCTCTGAACCTCAAATAATGGAGAACTTGAACTCGGGGAATGTCTCGCCAAGTGGACTCTTTTCGTTGGAAGAGAAGGCCTTGCAATATGGCAACAGATTAATAGTTACGGAGTGTAGAGTTGGGTCCCCACGACGGGTCTTGGCTTACGGAACTCTCAGCCTGGGTTTAATTGTGTGTTTTGAGACACTCAAGGAAGCGCCTGCATCTGTGCTAGGGGCAAAGTAAATGCAAGAATGGGAAATGTCTAAGAAATGCTGTTTTCCTGGCACTGAGAGGTGGTCTTCCAATCAACAGTGTCTGGAGCCAGACGACTGGCAGAGCAAACACCAGGAGAGATTTGTAGACCATGTAAGCATTCCTTGAGCATTTCCAGAAGGCTTTGGAGAGGGGATATTGGTAAAGAGCTAGACTTCCTGTGGTCAAGTGAACTGGAGGGATAAGATTATGGCTATTTCAGAATTAAAGCTGGAACATTCAAGGTTATGAGAGAAAATTAAAATTAAATCTGGAAAGTATGTGCTATGGGGGATCAGTGCTTTTTGATTCTGTTGGACCCAAGGAGAATCTGCGACTTGCAACTTAATCTGGGCAAATCCTTCTCAATAACATTGAAGCCATGTGAAGGGAAGAGCCTTAGCCAAAGAATGAGAAAGTTTTCTCCAGCCTTTGCTAAGTGCAGAACAGAGGATCCTCCCTTGGATAAGTGGTCCTTCCTATGATGCAAGACAGAGGGTGGAAGTTAGTTCTGCCCAGGATGGTGCAGCAGGCTGAAAGCACAGACAGACGGCCTGGGACCTGAGCTGACCTGGGACTTGAGCTTCAAGATTCTAAGAAAAAGTGTTGTACACATGTGGTCCCTATTTTTATTGGATAATATGGGATAATATTAAAGGAGGATAATATGGGCGGGGATGGCCTTTCTCAAATGCCATTTTATTTTTTTTTTTGAGTTGGAGTCTCGCTCTGTCACCCAGGATGGAGAGCAGTGGCGCGATCCCAGCTCACTGCAACCCCCACCTCCTGGGTTCAAGGAATTCTCCTGCCTCAGCCCTCCAAGTAGCTGGAATTACAAGCACCTGCCACTATGCCAAGGTGATTTTTTTTCTCATATTTTTAGTAGAGAGGGGGTTTCACCAGGTTGGGCAGGCTGGTCTCTAACTCCTGACCTCAAGTGATCTGCCCACCTAGGCCTCCCAAAGTGCTGGGATTATAGGCATGATCCACCGAGCCCAGCTCCAGTGGCTCCTAATTCTCCATCAAGCATTTAAGCAGCCTCAGATCTTGTCTTGGAACAAGGCTGGGCATAAGGAAGTGAATCTCATTGACCTTGCCTATTTCTCCTGCCCCTCCTGTGGTGCCCAACGCTCAGCACCCCACTGGCTGAGCTGGTGAATTGTGAGGCCTGTGTATTTACTCAACACTTTCTTGATGCAGCCAACTGAGAACATCAAGGTCCCCTTCAGATGGAATTAACTCCAAGTGAAGATTTTGAGCAAACACTGTCCATTCTATGAATGCTGGCTTTGATTTAGCTCAGTCGAGAACAAGGCCACGTGTGTGTTCTCCATCTGGGCTGGCCTGGCCTGTACCCCAAATCCTAGCTGCATCCTATGCACTCAAGGTCCCTAAGGAAATCAACTGGGAAGTGAGGCTGGGCAGGCCAAACCCATCCCTGCAGTGGGGGCACTCTCAGCCATGGCTGAAGAGGCAAGTTAAAGAGAAGGAACTCAGAAGCTGGACTCAGGAGAGAACCAGTCCTCGCTTTTGGGCAGAGAGTAAGCCTCTGCTTCAGTCTCTAAAGTGGGTACGGGACTCTTTGGCTGACCTACCTCACAGGAAGGCCACGAGAATCACAACACCCAAGTGACAAGAATGTCCGTGATCTATAGAGTGTTCTTCAAAACAGCACATTTCTATTTTCTATTTTTGCTGTGAGTTTGGTACCTGTATATCAATGGGACGATTGCAGATTTTTCCCGGGTGAGCTGTCCAGAGGTCTGAGATTTTCTCCCCACCTTTAGTCTGAGATACTTTATCGTGGTCGAACCACTCCGTCCACTCCACATCTAGGCAAAAAGCAAACAGCAGAGTCAGACAGAAGTTACCTGTGAGGGCAAGTCACACTCAGTGTGGTCTCCCGGCATCCTTGGCACCACGGGAACTGAATATTATCTGTCCGTGGTTGCACCAGGCTGGGGCTTGGGTGGCTCTCAACAATCTGCCTATTCTCCCACGTTTTAATTAAAAATGAGTTTCTCTTAATGAGGTTTCTTACTTTTGTAAAAGCAATTTATGTTCTGGGTTATTGCAAAAGCAAATAAACAAAGAGAAAAGAAAGAAAACCCATCTGTAAATCCATTATCCAAGGACTGCAAGTAGGATTGCTGCCTTCTGCAGTCCCTGTGTGTGGTGTAGGCTATTTGAAGGTCAGGTTCCGTTCCTATCTGTGTTTCCTGTTCAGTGCCACTGCCTGGCACATCAAAGATATTCTGTGAACTAAGCTGAATGTCACAGGCCCCAGCTGAGATGAAATTCAAATCTTAACCAGGGGAGAACACCCTTTTGGGTTACGGGCTAAAGTGGCTTGATTAATTAAAGACAATTTTCAGCTGCACATTTTTAGTTGATCCTGCAAAAGTTATAGTGGTCCGACTGGTATAAGGCAAATCTAGTTCTGCAAAGACAGTGATTTCTGGTCTTCCATCCCACTGTTAGGTGTCACCAAGTTGTCTGAAACGCCTCACCTTGAACCCACTCGCTGGACAAAGAAACATTGAAGTATTCTCCATGCTCAGTCTGGAACAATTTGAATACTCGGGCAGCGGCGGAGCCCCGGTGTCCTGTCAGAGAAACCAGATCCTTTAGGAACTGGACAGGTCCCCAGACTAAAAAAGTTGTAATTCCAAGGCAAGGAAACCCCCTACACACATGGACACTGACTCATTTATTTACAAATATATATATATATATTTTAAAGATGGGGTTTCACCATGATGGCCAGGCTGGTCTTGAACTCCTGACCTCAGGTGATCCACCCACCACAGCCTCCCAAAGTGCTAGGATTACAGGCGTGAGCCACCGCGCCCGGCCTTATTTACAAATATTTTTTAAGTAAACAAAAGAAAATCAAGACATTCATTCACTTGGGAAACACATTATTGTCCATTCTTTTGTGTCAGTTTTGAAAGTTTAGTTCCAGCCTCCCAGCAAATTCAGATTGTAGAGCTCTAGCATGTCTCACGGGCTGAATTCCTCCTGGGCGTTAGAGCTGCAGCACTGCCCGCAGCCTGTGCTGGGCAAAGGAGGCTCCACTGTGTCCTGAAAACCCATCTAAAGTGTTGTTTTAGCTCTTTTTAGAATTTTTTTTTGAGACGGAGCCTCGCTCTGTTGCCCAGGCTGGAGTGCAGTGGCGTGATCTCCTCCCAAGTAGCTGGGAATACAGCCACCTGCCACCATGCCTGGTTAATTTATTTTTATTTATTTTTTTATTTTGAGTAGAGGCCAGGTTTCACCATATTGGCCAGGGTGGTCTCGAACTCCTGACCTCAAATGATCCGTCCGCCTCAACCTCCCACAATACTGGGATTATATGCATGAGTCAATGCACCCAGCCTGGTTTTAAAGTACCACCCTTGTTGGGTCTATCCCAGTTCTCATCTTTTCTATGCCACTTCTAGGTTTTAGATTAAGTCAATGAAGACTTCCATGAAAAGGTAAATATTATGTGTTGGGCCTTTGGCCAGCTCTTTGCCACTTCCATGTATGATGGCCAGTTAAGCATCTGCTCACTCATCTAGGCATTGGGAGCTGGGCACTCATGCTCGGAGAAAAGTGGGCTGTTCAGAAAAACCCTGCGTCTCTTGGTCAGAGAAACACTGGAGGGAATCAGGCCTCTAGTCAGCTATTAATTACCATGATATTCAATATGGTCTTCCACTGAAGAAGACGGACTTCCTTTCACAGTTAGGAAACTCCAAGGGTGTCTGAAAAAAAGAAAAAAACAAACAAAAAGTGAAGTTATTCACGATCTGAACCTGCACAGGGTGTGGGTTCCCTCCGTCCCTCCCTGCTGTTTGGGGGAAATTCATTCACTTGCTGGGCTTCTCTTCTGCAGAAGGAGAAGCACCTTTCTTTGCAAGCCGCTGCCTGGCCTGCCTGGTGTCTGCTTCTTGTGAGCCTCTTCAGTTCCATTCTGGCAGAAGATGGGAGTATGAATCACAAATAAACAAACAAGCCAACAGACCTACCGCACCACTGCCAAGCCCAATTATGTCCTGAAGCAAGTGCCTGGACACCTTTAGGAAAACACGTTCCAAGAGAGAACATGCTCAGCTCCCCTGGAGTTGAGCTCGAGGAAAATATCAGAGGCTAACGTGACTGACCACTCGAACCATCTGCCTTGGGGCTTGGAAAGGAATGTCTCTTCTTAATGGAGAGGGAAGGTGAAAAAGAAGATCTAAGGTTTTGAAAAATTGTACACCCATCTTTCCTTCATGCAAGCATCTGCTGCTTTAGGGCAGGAAGGTTTTCTTACCCCATTTTGTCTTAGGTATTTTGTATCATGCCTAATGCAGTAATGGGGTTCAGGAGATGCTACCCCCAAAAATGGCAGCTTGGCATATTGAATATTTCAAGCTGACGGAATTTGAGAAATGGCAGGCAGGAGTTTCTGACTTTCCCCTGAAGCAGGTCCAAGACCCTTATGTGAGAGGGGCCTTCCTTATTCTCAGGAAAAGAGCGTCCTTATCCCCAAAGGCAGATGGCTAGGGTAGTCAGTCACGGTAGGATAGTCGTGACAGCATAGTCTCCGATCTCCAAGGGCATTAGGAAGCCAAGAGGAATCTGCAGGGACAGACCGTGCTAAGTTTTCCCCGTGTACCGTGCTTGGCCCAAATCTCTGTCCTATCACATTTCCCCACAGCTCTCCACTTCACCAAACCTGTGTACCGACACTCAGTTTAACTGTTTCTTTGGGTCCTTGTTTCCTTATGAAGGCTCCCATGTCATGTGAAACTTACCATCTGAAATACATTTGTGTGCTGTTTGCCTGTTAATCAGCGATTTGCTACCGGCGCTCCAGCCAAGGATTTAGAAGAGTAGAAGGAAAGAGGTTTTCCTCCTCTACAGTAGCCCTCGCTTACTATAAGCTGTCAATCGGCCAGGCGCAGTGGCTCACGCCTGTAACCCAAGCGCTTTGGAGGCCAAGGCAGGCGGATCACCTGAGGTCGGCCTGGCCAACCTCACCTTCGGGAGAGCCACTCTTTTGCCCCTTGGCCTCCAAAGCTGCCAGTCTCTCTATGGGACCGGCTGGGCCTCGTCCTCACATGTGCGTCTGCACGAAATTCCCCTTGCCCACTTTCTTGCTCTCTCAGGCCTCATCACCAACTTCCATTCACATCTGTCTTCCCCCGAGAGCTCAGAACACCTGGTCTAACCAAGTACCTCCCACCTTATGTGTTCAATAACCATTTCCCGAATGCACGAACAAATGAAGGGTCCAGGTCTCAGTTCTCCTATGGATTTTAGACACCTTAAGTTTCCCACTCAAAGAGTGTCTCTATACAAATGAGGCGTGGAAATGTGATTTCTGCCTACGTATCTCCCTCATCCATATGAACAGATGGGCAAAAGATGGTGAGTGCCCATCTTTCCAGTGGCTCTTGTTTATAAGGAGAAAATAGTTGCTAACATTTCTGGAGTGCTTATTCTGTGCCAGACGTGATGACAAATATTTTGCTCATATTATCACATTTAATTGTCCCATTGGTATATCCCATTTTACAGATGTAGGACCAGGCAGAGAATGAGTCATTTGCCTGCAATCACACCTCCTAGGAGGTGCAACCCAGACTCAAACTCAGGCCACTGGATGCCAGATCTTGGGTCCTCAGCCACTTTCTTCTGCTGAGGCTCTAAGTAGTCAGTTCCCTGGTGTTTCTAGCTCACTGTAAATTAATAGGCTGGCCTTTTGGTTTATAAAACAACAGAATGGAAGTGCAATTACTGTTTCCCGACAAAGGAGCCTTACGATTCCAAGGTATTACTGTCATCTTTGGCTGCTGAAATTTCCTGCTCGAGTTTCCTTCCAGGAGAAGTTGCCTCTGGGCTGTCGGAACGCACACCGGAACCTGCAGCAGCCCTCCCTAGCCCAGGGCGTTTCTGCTTAGCCAGCAAAATTGCTTTGCTCCAAGCCCAGAAAAGTCTCTGTCTTGCCTCTCATCTTGCCCCCGGAAGTGGGAAGCTGAAGGGAGGAGCATCAGAATCTCCAAACGGCCATGGAACAGATAACCTCAACTTTCCACTGAGCTGAGATTTGATTCAACATCATAAAAAGGCGTGTTCACTATGGACACAGGGAGGGGAACAACACACTGAGAGGGGCCTGGCAGAGTGGGGCAGAGGGAGGGAGAGCATCAGAACAAACAGCTAATGCGTGCTGGGCTTAATACCTGAATGATGGGTTGATAGGTGCAGCAAACCGCCATGGCACACGTTTACCTATATAACAGATCTGCACATCTTGCACATGTAGCCCGGAACTTTGAATTAGATTTTTCTAAAAAGGCATGCTTACTATGGGACCAACAGCCCCCTCTTGGTGCCGATGTGCGTGCCTGCCGATGTCAGACATGATGCTGCATTCCAAGGCAAACACAGCACACCCTAGAACATGGCAAAGGGCTGCTTCTCCTTGGGCATTTGGCTCGGCAGAGACACTTCACATCACCTCTCAAAAACTGTCTGCCAATCCCCACGCCATGACATGAGCCCTTTCCCAAAGAAAGGGAAAATGAATATTAGCTGCACATCAGAGACATGGCTCTTGCACACAGTAGGTGCTCACGTAGCATCTTGTAAGTGGCCGGCTGAATGAGTTCATATAAACAGAGAGCTTTTGTGTTTTATGAGTGATCTACGCTTGTAAGAAAAAACAAGCTTTCTTTAAGAACAATTTCCAAACATATGAAATGCAGATGTCAAATGTAAATCCCTGCATCCACTACGTCATTCAGGATGGTATGGCTGTGGGGACAGGAGATGGGAAAGGTACATTCTCAGTGGGATAGGGTGGCTTCAGTATTCCAGAGCCCAGTAGCGACCGAAGTGAGGGGCAGTACCTAAATCCAAGGTGCAGGAAGTGTTTGCTTCCCAATTTGGTCATCGCCTTCCTGGCTATGTCATCTAGATTTCGAGAACCTTCATCATTCACTGCAACAGCAAGGATCTTGCCATCGGGCACCACGTTCAAATACTGGACCAGACGTTCACTCTCTTTCTTGGATCTATAGGTGTCAAACCTAAAAAGGGCAGAGAGAAGAGATTTGAATAGTCTTGACAGCAGCCAAAAAAGAGAGCTCTAAGCACATGTTTGTGCTGCAACAGCTAACATGCTATCCGAGATCCCAGGATCTGCAATTCTTAAAGAAGGAAGCCGCTTCTTTAAAGAACAAGTAAGTTTAATTATTTTGCATACCATACAGTGATATCCAAGCAGAAGGGATTTGACCACAATGTTTATTCGCTGAGTAAAATGCCAAAGAAATGATTGCAGCAGTGGAGACTTCAAGCTCCAGGGTGTTGAGTGGGTCACATACTTGAGGTCTAGGACTTTTGATGTTCCCCTTTCATCCTGGAGGCAGAGGATCATGCCTCTTGCAAGAGCCTGGCTTTTAGAGATAGTTCAGATAGCTAGGGCATTAGGAATTTGTATCTTTGATCCAGATTAAAACACCAATCTCAGAATTCCTGGAGATGACATGGAGAGTATCCTAAATCCCTTATCCCACCCCAGAGCAGCTTGCAGAGAGTTATTTGCAGAGATCCAATGTAAAGTTTATTTATTGACCTGTTAAGGATTCTTATTATAATGCATCTTAGAATCATTAAAATGTAATCTCTGATTCACACAGTAGCAGTCACGCAATATTTGAGTATTGCAAATGTTGTTGCATTGCTATTTTCTCCCATTTACTTTTTAAAAATTATTTTACTTTATTGTGGTAAGAACACCTACCTTGAGATCTACCCTCTTAAAATTTTAAGTGTACTATATAGTATTGTGCAATGTTAGAGAGCAGATCTCTTATAATAGCAAGAACTGATCATCACCAAATTAACAGATAACCTATGCTCAGACACATAAAATATTCACAAAATAAAAATCATATACAGAAAATCTATACCCCTGGTGAGAAGAATTTACAAAGCAAAGACACGATTTTGTAATGACTCCAACTTTCCCCCATGTAAGGATAAAGATTTTGTGCAATTACAGTGGAAATTCCTAAAGAATATGTCTTGGAACTTAAGGAACATACTTCTAAAGTGAATCTGGAAAAATAATTTAAGGAGGTTTTTGGAAAAGAAAAACAGTGTTGGTACTGGTGTAGCTAGATAGGTGCTCCTGGGTCCTCACACTTGTTTTCAACTGTTGGCACAATCTGGTCCGACCCCACGTAACCTTGCAAACCCTCCATTGTCCCTCCCCAGGAAGCTCCTGCTGCAAGCCAAGTGCTTCTCAGTGCCCAGTGACCACCCCACTCGCCCACTCTGCCTTCATCATTCCTTCCCACCTTTTGTCTACCTGATCAAACACCTACTACCTTTCAGGAGCTGACCTAAGCTTCCGCTCCTGTAACCTTCTTTTTATTTTATTTTATTTTATAAGATGGGGTTTCACCCTGATGGCCAGGCTGGTCTTGAACTCCTGACCTCAGGTGATCCACCCACCTTGGCCTCCCAAAGTGCTAGGATTACAGGCGTGAGCCACCGCGCCCGGCCCTCCTGTAACCTTCTCAGATGACTTCTGCCTGCATTTACCTGTGTGTGTGTATGTGCTTGTTAATATCTTTACTCATACACATTTATCTATCACATTATTGAGATCTCCAGCACATACATTAGGCAAAAGATATTCGCAATAAGCAGGCATTCTGTCCGTGCAGTCTCCACAGCATCTGTCCAGATCACTTCTCATTAACAGGCCAGTACATAAACTTTAAGTTGGATATCTCAAGTCACAGTGTTGTACTTAGTTAAAAAACAGCACAGAAAAGATCAGCACATAATTGAAGAGGCCATCCTCTCTAGTATGAAAGCAAGGGCTCCCTGACATACTTTGTGTCAATCAAGGAGTCAGCTGTTATCTGTAGGCTCAGGCTAGCTCAGGCTCAGGCCAAGGCAAATGGCTGTCACCAGGCAGCCCGTGGAGGCGATACGGGCACACCTGGGTTTGAATCCCATCTCCAATATTTTCCAACCTTGTGGCTGAGTAATTTTAGCCCCATGAGCCTCAGTGCTTTCATCTGTTTAAGGCGGATAATGACAGAACCTTCCTCACAGAATTTTGATGAAGATCAAAGTACATTTGACAGGTGAAGTGATGAACAGTGTTTTGCGGGGAGAAAGTCTAGTGACCGCATTATAGCTACTAATATTTACCGGCAAGGTTGGGTGTCTGTGAGCACCAGCAAGCTCTTCAGTTCTTGCCCACCCTGCCCCTGACTGCAGCTGGCTCCTGCTGCCTTCATGGTGACACCCATGGCTTGGACCCTGCTCTTGAGGAATGCAGCTGACTCCCTCCCCAAGAAGCCCCAGGATAGCTCTGGATCTACTTGTCTACCCCATCTCTGTCCTCCCCTCTGCAGGGCCAGGATGAAAGCCCCTGGGATTGCAGGACAGGTCCAGCCTCGGCAGAATCTGCCAGCTTACACCTGCCCATGTTTCCTTCCAAACATCTCTCTGGTACACCCACTAACTGCCATTGCTTCCGGGTCTTCACCACCACCATGTCCTGCCTAGACCACAGGAGAAGCTTCCTAACCCCCTGCAACGTCTTTGCTTTTGCCTGCATGATTAAAACCATTCTTTATGTAGCAGCCAGAACATCCTTTTAAATCGGATCATGCCCTTCTTAAAGCCTTTCAGTGACTTTGCTTCCACTTTGAAGAAAAACCACCTCCTTACTGCGGCCTACAAGGTCCTGCCCTGCCCGAATTTGTGACTCCCATGTGACTGTGTGCTGCTTTTCCACTACATGCTGTGCTCCGTGGCTCTGGCGGCCTTCCCATCCTTTGAGAATGTCACACCTTTTCATACCTCTGGCCCTTTGCACTTGCTGTCTGTCTTGAACACTCTTTCCCTGACACATCCTTACTCTGCATTTCTCAGCTCAAATGTTGCTTCTTTACACTGCCTTTCCCTGACCACCCTAACCAAAGTGGTCTTCCCTAGTTACACTTTAGCATCTGGAGCATAACTGGAGGCCTGAGTGGTCTCCCGTCTCACCACCACTTTCCGCAGTAAGCACTTGGAAGATGACTTCCAGGAGTCTCAGGGTCCTTCTGTACCATCTACTGTGGGCCACAGGACCCTCTGCGACATTCTGTGTCCCTTCTTCCCCTAGTTGGTGGCCATGGAGGGTCTGGTCTGCTGTGTGTCAACCCTGGATGCTGTGAGCTCATGCTGGCCAGGGAAGCAGACGGTGTGAGGGGCAGAGGCAGGCTCCCGGGCTCAGCTCCTTCCTCTGCATCATTCTGGGCTTGGGGGCCTGGACAGCACCCGCCAGTGACAGCTTGTGGGCCTCACCCTCTGGGAGCTGAGCCATGCGCTGTGTCATTCTTGGTGCCATCTTCCCCTGCTGTGCTGGCAGTCTCGGCCCAGCCCCCACCTTTGGGTTGTAGGTTGGGCTCCCAAGCAACACAGACCACTCTTCCCCCTTGCCCTACCCCCAGAGGGACATGACTTTCTTTCTGGACTGTTTGTATTGAAGCGAAGTGATGTCAAAATAAAGCCCCTGCAGGGCCTGGCTCCCTGTTGGTCTGAGTGGAAAAAAAAAAAAATGATCACGATCTGAAACTATGTTGTGTGTACATATGTGTGCATGCTTGCTCCTCTTCAATTCAGCATCATTAGGCAAACGCCTGGGGAAGGACAGAACTCCTTGAAGGCAGAGATTCCCATCTGTATCATTCACTGCTGTTCTCCCAACACCTAGAGTGGCACCTGGCCAGGGAGCACACTCAGTAAGTGTACTCTGAATGAATGAGTGTATATTTAAGTGAAGGCAAACCTTACCGGTCAGAATGGATAACTGTGCCTGATTTGGGGTCGATGACATGAACAATGACTCCACGGTGGCCCCAGCTCCTTTCAAAAAAATAGCCTCCTTCTGACATGCCACCTGGGTGAAGGGTCTTGTTCAGAAATGTCCAGGAGAGCTTCTTCTGCCCATGCAACTCAAGAGTGCCTCCTCTGCCGACCCCTATGTACTTCAGTCCGTAGTAAGGATCCGGTTGAATACCTTCATCAGCCCTGCAAGAGAAAACAAGTACCCAAAGTTGGCTGGCACATCCTTTTGCTGGATGTGGAACCCAGAGGGAACCTAGGAGTCACACCTCCCTGACTCCCACCGTGGCCACTATAGAGCCAGTCACATTTTCATCACTTAAGGTCAGTAAAAATAATACTAATGGCTGGGCGCGGTGGCTGACACCTGTAATCCCAGCACTTTGTGAGGCCCAGGCGGGCAGATAACTTGAGATCAGGAGTTCAAGACCAGCCTGGCCAACACGGTGAAACTCCATCTCTACTAAAAATACAAAAATCAGTCAGGTGAGGTGCCATACACCTGTAGTCCCAGCTATTTCAGAGGCTGAGGCACCAGATTGCTTGAACCGAGAGGCAGAGGTTGTGGTGAGCTGAGATCATGCCACTACCCTCCAGCCTGGGCCACAGAGCAAGACTCCATCTCAAAACAACAACAGCAAAAACATTAGCAACCCACTCTATCTAAGCCAGACCAAAATACAGCCCTCAGGGCCAAGCAGAAGTGCCAATGATTAGTTCACAAGTTGGCGTGTTTCCCTTTCAGTTCTAAGTGATTTATGTTTTGGTCCATATCAGATGTGAATCACCTGGACATGCACTGCACCCCCTTGTGCATTCCTGGCTATCACTTCTTAGCGCTCTCAATTGTTTAAAGAGGGAACACAGCCAGGGGCAGGTACCACATGAAATTTCCTGTATCTTGTCCATCATAGTCTATTATATAAACACTTGCTGAGCCTCCCTGAACATAACATGATTGCAAGGTGGCTGAAAGGATGGCAGGCCCATCTCTAAAACAAGTACAGCACCCAGGCCACCATAAGTAATATGCCTCATGGACTTCAGCTCTCCCAAGTCACTACGTCTTTCTTGTTCACGATCCCCATCTGACACAACGGAAGGATTCCTAACTTACAGGCAAGCCTTGCCCTCTTGCCTCCCCCTCCGTCTTGGAAAGCCTCCCCCTTGTGAGATCCACGGGTAGCAATTGACCTGTAGGAGCGGTCTACCCACCTTCCATACAAAATGATGGTGAAATTGCCCTGGAAAGGGCAGAGGGGACTCCCAGCATGCATCTCTCCTCCGTTGTCGATCAGGATGTGCCTGGTTCGCAAAACAATCGGCTCATCATGGTCTTTAACAACTAGCTTGCCTGAAGAGGTAGCATTGAGGGGAGGGTTAAGAATACCGTGTTAAGGGTAAGCTTATATCAGAGCCCAGGGCAGACTCCCTAAGCACCCTCATCTCCCTGGGGCAGGCAAAAAGGCACATCTTTCAAACATTCCTATGCTTGGCGTGTTTACAAGTACAGTCATCCCTCAGTATCTGAAGGGAATTGACTTTAGCACCTCCTACAGATACCAAGCTCCATGGATGCTCCAGTCCTGATATCAAATGGCATAGCATTTGCATATATGTACCTAACCTATGCACATCCTCCCGTATACTTGAAATCATCTTTAGATTGCTTACAGTACCTAATCCAATGTGAATACTGTATAAATAGTTGTTAAACTGTATTTTTAGGAAATAATGATCAGAAAAAAGTCTGTACATGTTTGGTAAGGATGCAGATTTTTTGGAATATTTTCAAGCTGGGATTGGTTGAATTCATGAATGCAAAACCCACCGATATAGAGGCCGGCTGTAATTACTTTTCTTGCTCTCTGTTTTGCAATGTGTAAATAATGCCTATCTGGTCAAATGCCATCACTGCATGTACCACATTCAATGACCAGGCCTCTAAAGATAAGATAAACAAAATTACTCAAAACACCAATAAGGAGTTTCCTCTACAAATGCTCCTTTCACTAAGATTGGACCTCCAAGGAGCCATTCCTAACAGCTCAGAGCTGATGGTTATCTCAAACAACCGAATGCCAACATGAACCCCAAGCATGTGATGTTTATTCTGTCCATCTGAGCTCATGGCAACCTGCATCCTACCTGCTAAGCTCTGGGGAGTGGAGGGAAGGGGGAACAGCAGAGAGAGATGGGCTTACCTCCCTCTGAGATGTGGATGGAAGAGACAGTGGCAGAAGAAGTGAGCAGCAGTGTCCTACCCCGGCCGATATGCACATGGTGGTCTTGGTCATGGCCAGGGTTCCAGGGTTGCAGCTCAGGGCTCTGATCAGGGCACCCAGCAGCCACTGCCAAGGACAGAGAGATGTCACTGCTCCCATCTACCAGCCTCACCACGCAAGAATGCTACAGGCCAAAAGGGGGGCTCCCACGCACCTTTAAGAACCCTGCCTCCTCTCTGTTAGAGGTAAAAGCAAGACCCTAGAGAGCTGAGAGACCTGACATAGGAGGCCGGAACTTTGGCGACCAGTCATATATTTTGCATGTATATTTATCACGTATCTGTGAATAAGTCACTTCCCTTTTCTGGGTTCAGTTTCCCCACTTACAAAATAAAGGGTAGACCAGATGACTTCTCAGGACATCCCAAGCTCTGAAGTTATATTCATCACATGTCTGTGAATAAGTCACTTTCCTTTCCTGGGTTCAGTTTCCCCATTTACAAAATAAAGGGTAGACCTGACGACTTCTCGGGACATTCATAGCTCTAAAGTTACGCAAAGATTTACTCAGATTCTAAGACATTCTGTCCTCCAGAAAGCAGTGTTTGAGTAGCTAATAAAGCTCTTTCCCTTTCTGCATGAGAATTAGACCTTTGGTTAATTTTCTAGCTCCGTTCCACTGGAAACCTGAGAAAGATAGCATTATGTAAATTGTTACCTAGCAGCATTGTTTATAACAAAAGTGACCCCTGATTGGTGAATGGCATCTAAACTGGGAGGAACAATAGTTTATATTTATACCTGGTGGAGATGTCACACTCTAGGCTTCCCTGAGAGCAGTGACTCTTATCATGGGACATTTTGTGAGAATCCTGGAAGTTACATTTATGGAGTTGCTACTGTCTCCAGGGGGCATGAAGTCTCTAAGACACAGTGGTCCCCACACTTGTCCAGTGACAGTCTTATTTCCTCTCACCTGAGCTGTCACCTGGAGAACCAAAGAGAATAGCTTCTGGATGGCTGTCTGGAAGACTGTCAGGACCACTCCCATGGAAGAGAGGTACCTGATGCTGCTCTGATGGCATCTGTGTGTCCCATTCTATATTTTCCAAGAAAGTCTGATAACTAGTATGACATACGGTCACCTAATGAGTCTGAATGTTTAGTTGAGCCTAAAAAGACCCAGGGTAGGTACTGCAGAGACACTTCTCCCTGAACTCTGTAGAGGCACAGGGAGGAGTCACAATGTTCACATGGCTAATACGGTTTGATCCAGCAGTGTCCCGAGGTGGACTTGAGTGAGGAGGACCGGCACTGTCACAGAAACTGGAACACCCTCCATCAACAGCATGGAAAAATCCAGGGGGAAACAGGTGGGAAGAGGCAATGGACGAAACAAGATGAGAATGAACTGGCTCCAAGAACAAGCCCCAGTGTCCTCCTTTTTCCTGTGACTAGAAGGGTATGAAGTATGAAACAGTCGCTTTCAAAATAACCCTGGGTGGGGATGAGGAGGCGGGAAGGTGATGGGCAGGTAAGCCCATGGCAAGACAAGGTTTCAGATGAGAAGCTCTGGGGCAGGTGCTAGAAGGAAAGGAAGCAAACTCACAGCTCAGGCCCCCAGAAGGGAGCCTAGGAGAGGCTATGTCTCTCGAGCAAAGAGAGTGCCACAAACCCTGGGAGAGATTCTGGCATCAGTGCATGATACGGTTTGGCTGTGTCCCCACCCAAATCTCATCTTGAATTGCGGCTCCCATAATTCCCACGTGTTGTGGGAGGGACCCAGTGGGATATAATTGAATCATGGGGGCAGTTTCCCACACACTTTTTTCCTGGCAGTGAATAAGTCTCACAAAATCTGATGGTTTTATCAGGGGAATCGCCTTTCACTTCCTTCTCGTTTTCTCTTGTCCGCCACCATGTAAGATGTGTCTTCCGCCTTCCACCTTGATCGTGAGGCCTCCCCAGCCATGTGGCACTGTGAAGCCATTAAACCTCTTTTTTTTTTTTTTTTTTTATAAATTACCCGGCCTCAGTATCTTTATCAGCTGCATGAAAATGGACTAATACAGTGCGATTACGGGCAGGTCAGTTCAAATGTTTCTTGTTTGTATTCAGCCATCTCCAGAGTAAGGGTGTCTGTCCAATATTTATAGGTGTCAAGGAAATCTAGAATGGGGTTCCCCCTTCATCTGCACTCAACAGCACCAGATATGGACCCCATACCCACATTGAGTTGTCCTGTCTGCCCGCCTGAAGGCCCTCCTCTTCCCTGCAAAGCGGAGTATAGATCCTAGTGTCCGCTTGCTGGGTCTCATCCCCATCCCCGCTTCCAGCCCCATAACAACTCTCCTCTAGGCTCCCTCTGCCTTGCTGTCAGCCATAGTGCGGGCTTTGGATCTCTTTCATTAAGAAAAGAATTTCATATTTTTTGGAGTTTCACCAGTGTAGCTCTTCCAGCTATTGTAAACACCAAGGGGCTCAAGCAGTGGTTACACAAGGAAAAAACGGGAAAATTGTGGGCTTGCTCATCAGTGGACTTTCCATTTTAACGTAAGAGCAGACTAGCCAGCGGGGGGTGGGCTGGGCTCTCTGCGGTGAAACAGAGCAGCCAAGGGTGGTCATGAGGGCTGTGCTGTGAAGCCCACTGCTGGCTTTGTCTCCAGACAGGGTCAGGTACTTGGCTGGCTTCCAGGAGAGGCCAGTCAGAGGCACTGGGCTTCCTTCCATCAAGTCCTGGACAAGAGTGTCAGGCTTGAAGGTGGTGAATTTCCAGCCATGTGGGAAACATATGTAGCCAACTGAGGATCCCAGTGGTCCAGGCAAGGAGCCATGAGCATGCTGGGAAGGAGCCATTGCAACTCCACTGGACAAAGCCTTGAGGTCGTATAGTCCACATCCGCCAGGACAATCCTGATGGCCCTTTTCACTCTCCAAGTGCAGGAATTTGAATAGATTTTGCATTTGGATTTGGAGGTGGTCAGTCTGACCTGTGTGAGCACATGTCCCCGCTTTCCAGAAGCTCTGATACCACGGCTGAAGCACAGCAGATGTAAGATTGGCCTTGAACGGACACTCCTTTTTTGCAGCTGGACGTTTTGCTGTCGGTGAAGCCCAGTGTCCGTGGTTTTTCATTTGTATGAATCAGTGAGTGGCTAAAGAGGGCCAGGGCTTTCGCTGAAATATCGCCATGGCAACCACCCTCACTTTCCCAGGAGGGGCCACTTGAAGCAGGATTGAGAAGGAGTGCAAGCCCGACCTACTTGGAGCATGAACGGCAATGGCTGGCGTCTACATCCCTCTGATGTCAGAGAAAAGCACAGGCCAGACGGAACCAGAGGCTCAGCCCCTTTCCACAAGGTTGATATGCAAACAGCAAAAGAGGTGCCAGGGCGTGGGAGGAAATAATCAAGGGAAGTACCTGAGGGCACCTCTCCAAGGTGGGTCACCTTTAGGGTATGCCACCCTAAAAGATAGACCCAAACCCAGTTCCTGGCACAGAGTCAATACCCGCTTTGTGTTTGTTAATTCAATAAAAGAGAAAGGGATAAATGAATGAATTCAGGTAATATAGCCAATCATCGCCTGGAAAGTTAAAATACTGACCACTGGCTGGGCATGGTGGCTCACGCCTGTAATCCCAGCACTTTGGGAGACCGAGGCTGGAGGATCCCTTGAGCCTAGGAGTTCGAAACCAGCCTGAACAACATAGTGGGACACTGTCTCTTCCAAAAAATTTTAAAAATAGCCAGGCATAGTGGCATGCACCTGTGGTCCCAGCTACTAGGGAAGCTGAGATGAGAGAATCACCTGAGCCCAGGGAAGTAGAGGCTGCACTGAACCATGATCATATTACTTCACTTCAGGCTAAGCAACAGAGAGACCCTGTCTCAAAAAAACATGTGCTATTTGCTATGTCTCCTAAGAATCAGAAAAGCTCTTCAAGAAGGAATTTCACTAGTTATCGATTATTTTCTTCTATCAGTGGGTCGAAAAAACCAAAATATAAATTCAATGTAAGGTTCTCTATTCTCATTATAGAAAATCATCAAACTCAATGAACATAAAAATAGCATCAATAAAAGAGCAATCAATGGTGATAAGATTACAGTACTAAACCCCTTCTGAAATTGTAAAATTGTCCCTGTCTCTCACAACTGGCTAGAAAGGAGAAAAGTGTTTCCCTAGAGAAGGGCCTCAGCTCTCCATCTGACCACTGTCCCTACCTGGTGAGCTTCACTCATTTGTATCAGGTGCCTGGCTCCTGCAGACACTGAGTTTGCAACCCCTGATTCTGGTCCAACGCCTTCATTTTGCGGACGAGGAAACTGAAGCCCAGGATGAATCGTGCCAGGGACCAAGGAATTGAGGAAGGTTGGGCCGGGGCCCAGTCACCCTGACCCACTCCCACGGCTCCTCCTCCTGGCTCCCACAAGAGCAGCCTTGCAGCAGTGAGGGGCCGTGCCTTGCATGCTGAGATGCGGAGGTCCAGGTGTTTGCAGTGCTCACCTGCAGATGTCACCCCAGGGAAGCAGGTCAGAGTGAACCAGCTGATGGTCAGCATGGCCTTGAAGGAGAACTCCTGCCTCCCAGAAGCTCCCATCCTGGCAGCGTGCTCCCTGAAAGAGAAGCACACAGAGTCAGACATGCAGCCTTGGCAGGCTGGAATCCATACACAGGGCCAACATGGAGACAGAGTCACATGCACACACACAGACACAGGACAGGCAGTGCCAGAATGGGCACACGCCAGCCAGCCCACACTCCAGTGCAGCGGCCTCACCTCCAGGGCAGATCGGGGCATGAAAACCCTCCCACTGTCCTGCCCGTGTCCTGTGGCTCAGAGGCTGAGTGATGGATGGAATTTCATCCTTGGCACTCAAACTCCCTCCCCTCCAGAATGAAGCTTTTTTCTTAAGAAACAGCACAGAACAAAAGTACTCCCACTGAACATGAGCTGGGAATTAGATTCCACCAACTCACTGTGTGATCTCAGACGATCTGTTTAATTTCTCTGGATCTTAGTTTTCTAATCTTTGAGGGTGTGGACTGGCTGCTTTCTAGCCTTTACATTATCAGTCTATGTGTCTAATCAGTCTTGGATAATAATATTGAAAACGTAAATAAATATAGATGCCCGCATGTTGTAAACCTTCTTCTTATCTATCTAGGAGGAAGGTGTGGCAAAGATAGCTAATTGTCCCCAGTATCCATTTTCTCCTTCCTCAGTAACAGAACCCCTGGTATTTATCTGGGCACATGGCTACCTAGAATAAAGATTACATTCCTCACTTTCCCTTGCATTACTTGTGGCCTTGGAATTCAGCTCTGGCCAATATAACAGAACTATGGTGTCTGAATTCCAGGAAATTCCCTTAAAGGAAGGACAGAGAGATTTTCTTCTCTCCCTTCTCCTTCCTGCTAGCTGGAAGGAAGATGTGATAGTTGGATTTTTAGCAGCTATCTTGGGCCATATAGTGGGAGCCATGCATGCACTGAGGATACCAGTGCAAGTAGAGCGAAAACTTAGGCCTTGACCTTGCGTAGAACCAGAATAGCCCTGTATGATGGACTTGTTTTATTTTGAGAGAATTAAGCTATTGTACTATTTTTTTTGAGGCAGAGTCTTGCTCTGTCACCCAGGCTAGAGTGTAGTGGCAAGATCTTGGCTCACTGCAACCTCCACCTCCTGTGTTCAAGCAATTCTCCTGCCTTAGCCTCCTTAGTAACTGGGATTGCAGGCATGCACCACCACACCCAGCTAATTTTTGTATTTTTAGTAGAGATGGGGTTTCACCATGTTGGCCAGGCTGGTCTCAAGCTTCTGACCTCAAGTGATCCCAAAGTGCTGGGATTATAGGCACAAGTCACCATGCCCGGCCTGAATGAAACTTCTAGTTTATTAAACTTCAGATTTATTGAAGCTATTGTTGTTTTTCCCCCTTTTGCTCATGCAGAAGGTTAATATGGGAATCTAGGTAAACCTCAAGACAGGAACTTAATAAAGACAAGATGTGAGATTTCCTTTTCCGGCTATAATGTCACCTGGAGAGAAGTCTTTGTTCAAGTCCTCTGTAGTGCAGCTAGGGAACTTAGACAGGCTTTGCGGGTGGCCAGCTCCAGCTTCTATGCCATCTCCCCAATTCCTCCTCTGAATATGACCGTAGCTGTGCCCAGAAACACACAGATACTCTCCCATACTGAGAAAAGGGCCAAAATCTATCTCACCCGGCCCAGGCTCCTCCCTGCAAACCAGCTCAGTGACAAATCTGATCACCCCCAACCTTTTGGTTCAAAGTGAAGCTCTTTGTGTGAGTTCAGTGAGTTGGGACAGGCAAGTGGTCTGAAAAGAGGACACTGGGCCCTCTGCCTGGTACCTCCCACACAGGTGTGCTTGGGAGGCCGGGGGAGAGAGGAAACGATACTCACAGAATCAATGCCGTGTCCTGTTAACCGCCACCCCGCCTGACCCAAGCCTGCTCTGCCGAGAACAACAGGGCCCATTCTCGTCACTTCAGCCAGATTGCTGAAGTCACGCATCACAGCATCTGGGAGTGGTGCCTTTCCCATGGCCCCCAGAAGAGGAGTGCTCCGTTTCGCACTCCTTGCAATAGAAAGAAGGGGACATCAGGAACAGGAGCATTTTATGGTCCTCAGGGAAAAGCCAGAACCCTGGTCTCAGATCTCCGCCAGTTTAGAAAAACCAAAGGTAATAATAGACTGCTGTCTGCTACCAAAGGGTCCCGATCATCATGGGCTGCCCTGAGGAACCCTTCCTTGGTCAAGGAAGATGACAGACAGCAAGGTTGGAAGTGAGAGGGCATGGGTGGTGGGCTGGGTGGGGGCACCCCTCCTGCCCTAACTTGTTGGGTAACCCCCATTAACATGTTTCCTTCTGCGGACCTCAGACTTCCCAGGTACAGAGTGGGGAGGTTGGTGACTTGGACATTGAAGGTCTGACATCTTCAGGTTATATCACAGGTGATTTCGAAGATCAAAAAAAAAAAAAAAAAAAAAAAAAGTCACCTTCTGGATAAATGCAAAAATAATTCCATATGGAGGAATAATGCTCAACTCCCTTTTCCTAACATTTGTGAGACCTTCTGCTATGTCTCAGGCCTAGCTGTCTAAGCCACTGGGGGCAGGGAGAGTGCCCTGCCCACGGAGGCCAATCCCACATTGCAGAGCAAGTGGTCATCTGGGCTTTCTTGCCCGTGAGTGGCTTCCCATGCCTGAAGACACATGTCCTGAGAAACGTTCTGTTGAAGTGAATCCTAAAAGATTCCCAAACTTCACTTGGGAATTCTTTCACCGAAAGGACAGCATTCTCCACTGGCCATTAAAAGCTTCCTGGCAACAGGAACTGGGATTCTGCTTCTTAGCTGGCAAGATCGTTTTGAAACAATTCCCAGCTGTTGAAGGCATTGGAAGAGCGCATGTTAGCTAACAATGCTGGAAGTCTCTGCAGGAAGCTTTTGGCTGGAGACCAGCTGACCGCTGTCTTCACTGGGTTAGAGGGCTGCTCAGAGATTGAGCCATGAGGACCTGAGCTGGCCTGTCCCTTAAAGGGTGCAGCAAACTCCTTCAGCAGAGCCTTTGCAAAAGAAAATGCAGGCATCCTTTCCCAAAAGCCAGCACTTTGAGATACTCCGCAAGTCTTCACAATAACATGCTAAGGTTTTCCAGAAGCTCAGCTGTCCCCAGGTCCAGCTGCTGCTCAGTCTCCGTGGTGGCTGGACCTCTCAGGGCCAGGAGACAAAAGAGGAAAAGCGGGAGCAGGAGGCGTTGGTTGCTCACGTCGCTCTCTGCGTCAGCGGATCCAGGGCTCGTCACCTGCAGGGCAAGGGGAGACAGGGGAAAGGAGACAATTGTTACAGGAGCCTCCAGAGAGGCCACGGAGCAATGGCACCCTCAGCCTCATAGGGAGCCAGGATCTTCTCTAGGGATTCTTGGAAGAAGAGGGAGGAGGAGGTAAGATAAAGACTGAGTTTAAGCTGTGAGGCAGGAGGTGAGATAAGACTGGCAGGGTGACCTGGAAGCTGGTTTCCTGGAATAAGATGGCAGAGAGAGGCATTTCCCTCCCTGCCCACCCCGCAGGAGGCGATTCTTGCTTCAGGCAAACCTAGGCAAGGTTCAGCTCAGTGACTACAGGACAGTGGGGTAGCCAGGAGCATGCACTGCAGAGTCTTCGATCCCAGCCACGTAGCTCACACGGAGGGTGCCATGTGGCCCCTTGTGCCCCGTTTAAAAGTCTGTAACGCTGAGATGGTGTGCCATAAATTCCAGGGTCACTGTGAGAATCAGGAGACACGGACTCACTGTCAGTGCGCAAGCCATGAAGGCTCTTGGTATCAGGGACAGTCCGTGGCATGAGAGAAGAGACGGGAGATGGGACCTGAAAATCTGGGTGTGAATTCCAACTCTGGCTCTCATCAGCCATGTGACCTCAGGCAGACAATTCAATCTCTCTGTGCCTTCTTGTCGCCAACATGGGAACAAGAATGCTATGGTAACCAGTCGTCATTGTTGTGAGGGTTAACTGAGATATGCTGACTTGAAAAATGTCAACTCTCAGATATCACTGGTCTCTGGAGTAGGTGCTTTGGGTGGCACAGAGAGGAACCGGCTGTGAATCCTGCCTCTTGAGTATCTCACTGGCAAGAGGAGAGAGAGGCAAGAACGCAAGGAACTACACTCCCGAATGGTAAGCTGCTACCTTCTTAGGCAAAGGAAGATAAAGAGATGGTACCATTGACAGGATAGAACAATCTAGACAGTCACTCTGCTTCACTTAGCAAAGTTCATGGGAAATATTTTATTTGAGCTAATGACACTGGACACTTCCCTTAAAAAAACACATGAGAACATACAGGTCACTTTCTTTTTTTTTTATTTTTTTTTTTTTTTTTTTTGAGATAGAGTCTTGCTCTGTCGCCAGGCGCCAGGCTGGAGTGCAGTGGTGTGATCTTGGCTCACTGCAACCTCCACCTCCTGGATTCAAGCAATTCTCCTGCCTCAGCCTCCCAAGTAGCTGGGACTACAGGTGCGCGCCACCACGCCCAGCTAATTTTTGTATTTTTTGTAGAGACGGGGTTTCCCCATGTTGGCCAGGATGGGCTCGATCTCTTAACCTTGTGATCCACCCGCCTCAGCCTCCCAAAGTGCTGGGATTACAGGCGTGAGCCACCGCGCCTGGCCCATACAGGTCACTTTTTATCCTGTGGAGAGGTAGCAGGCTTTGGAATCAACCACACCCTTGTGACTTCTCTTGGGCACAGTTTTGTTTACGCTGATATGTCACTTAATGGTTATGTATCTGTTATGGGGTGAATCGTGCATTCCCCAAATTCATACGTGGAAATCCTAACCCCCAGTACCTCAAAATGTGACTGCATTTGGACTTAGGACTAAGGAGGTAACTAAGGTAAAATGAGGTCAGATGGGTGGGTCCTAATCCAATACGACTGATGTCCTTATAAGAAGAGGGAGACTAGGGCGCAGACACAGAGGAGGGACCAGGTGAAGACACAGGGAGAAGACAGCCACCTACAAGCCAAGGTGAGAGGACTCAGAAGAAAGCAGCCCTCCTGACACCTCGATCTCAGACCTCTAGCCTCCAGAACTGTGAGCAAATACATTTGTGTTGTCGCACTCACCCAGTCCATGCTACTTCATTATGGCAGCCTAGCAAACTAATACGGCACCCTTGGGCAAATTACCCAGCTTTTCTGAAGCTCACAGGTCTCTCATCTGTAACGGTGACAGTAACAATCAAAGCAAACACTACCGGGACCCTGTGAGATGCCAGGAACTGCTTCATGCACTTTGCTTACGTTGACTAATTTACTGTCTCGAAGCAATACTCTGAGCTAGGTATAGTTGTTATCTCTGGTTTATGGATGGGGAAACTGAGGCACAAAGCATATAACTTGCCCAAGGTCACACAGGACATAAGTGACGGAGTTCAAAGCCTGCCCGGAATTAGAAGCACAACTTCTGGAGTTCTTCTCCAGAAGTAGTGCTTCTAATTCCTAAGGATGAAATGATTTGCATTCTTATCTCAGGATCTCAGAATATAGGCGCTGGTAGGAGCGTGGGGTATTGTACAGTCCACACTTCTCAACCTTCAGTGTGCACCTGTTTTCCCCAGAAAACTTGCTTAAAAAGGTTCTGCAGAGGGTCACAGGACTAGCAGGTGGCCTAGTCAGGATTCGAACCCAGGCGGTCTGGTTCCAGAAGCCACATTCTATAAAAAGGGAACATAAACGACGCCCTGCTTATCTGACCCAGTTTACTGGGAGGAGTAAATGCTTGATTTAAGCCATTTCTTTGCCCCTGGTAGACAAAATCATGATCTTGAAATCAAGCCTGAGTGAGCTTGGGGGAAGGTGGGCAAGAATCCCCCTCCAGCTCTCTCGTGGTCAGGGAAGCTCCCATGCTGCCCTCTTCCTTTATGACCTAGGGTTCTTGTCCATGGACTTTTAAATCCATGCATGGCTCCTGCAGGATCACCTGCACAGGGTCCACTTAGCTCCTTTTCTGGCTAAGGACCCAAGTCTATCCTCGTGGACACCAGAAACCATGGAAACAGGAAAGCAGAACTCAGAGATCTTCCTGCAGGACAGGAGTGTCCGCTGACAAACTGTGATGCAGAAATCCTTCTCTGACATTGCTCAGTAAGGACCCTGTCCTCCTCTCCTGGGTCAGGTAAGGGGCAGCCAAACACCCCCCATCCCTTACTGCCTCCACCTGCCACTTGTCCCTCCCCAGGCCCAGCTCTCCCCTGGCACAGAAATGCATCTTTCTGGTCACCTGGTTCAGACACAGCATCCCTAGAGAGAAGGAGGTGGGAGACAGAATAGTCCAAGCACCCCTCTGGATCACAGATAAACACAGGAAAGTCGCAATCCTGGGAAACTCCCAGCAGCCCCGATCTCCCTCCTGCCAGCCCTTTCTCAGAGACGCTGCTGTCAGCACTGTCTCCTTAGACAGGATGTATGGGGCCGCTGTGCTGGGACGCCAGCGACAGGGTGCCCTAGCCTGCATCTTTGGAGAGAGGCACTTAGAAAACCCTCTGCTTCTGCAAATCGGGGCATCCCAGGCTGCTGTGTGAAACATGCTTCTCTGGCGTGAGTTACTTTCACCTTTTGAAAACACAGCTACCCAGACCACTCCCATTGCTGCAAAGACCAAAAACCCCGGAGACCCTCTAAAGCCTGGTGTCTCTTCCACAAACTGTGCTTCTAATTCCTAAAAATAAAACAACTCACAGTTTAGCTTCAGGCTCACAGAAGGTAGGAGCTGATAGGAATAAGACCGATTCTAAGGGAGGGGACTTGTTAAAATGCAGTTTCGGATAGGGCGGGTCTGGGGTAGGGTCTGATGCTGCCTTTCTAACAAACTCCCAGGGGAGGCTGTTGCTGCTGGTTGGTGGACCATGCATTAAGCAGCAAAGATCTAGTTCACCCCCACCCTCCCCATCTTACAGATATGCAAACTGAGGCCCACAGAGAAGGGAGCTGCTCAAGATGATTAGGAGCAACTAAATGGAAACCTGACCAGTACCTGATAGGGGAATTGCCGTCTGGGCTCAAATTATGGGACGCATATCATCTTCTCTGTCACTCTGCTTGCCTGGGAGGACGGGTGAGAGAGGGGAAGGCTAGGCCCATTTATTCCCTCTTCTGTTTCTATTGAGGCAACACTCCAAATCATTATTTGGATAGTAAACGCATCCCTTGGGGACCTTTTATCCATAGTGTCTTTTTGGTTTTTGTTTTTTGTTGTTGTTGTTGATGTTGCTTTTAGACAGAGTTTTGTTCTTGTTGCCCAGGCTGGAGTGCAATGGTGTGATCTCAGCTCACTGCAACCTCTGCCTCTCGGGTTCATGCCATTCTCCTCCCTCAGCCTCCCAAGTAGCTGAGATTACAGGCATGTGCTGCCACCACACCCTGTTATTTTTTTTTTTTCCTCTCTGTCACCCAGGCTGGAGTGCACTGGCACATCTCAGGTCCCTGCAGTCTCCGCCTCCTGGGATCAAGCAATTCTCTGCCTCTGGAGCAGCTGGGATTACAGGCACCCGCTACCATGCCCAGCTAAATTTTTTGTATTTTTAGTAGACACACGGTTTCACCATGTTGGTCAGGCTGATTTTGAACTCTTGACCTCAAGTAATCCATCTGCCTCGGACTCCCAAAGTGCTGGGATTACAGGCATGAGCCACTGCGACCAGCCAAGAGTCTTAGATTATCTTTCCCCCAAAAAACGTCGATATGGGAAATTCCCACTGGGGAACCACATGCAGAGCCAAAGAGGAGAGACACTACTGTTCTCTGTGGTAACAAATTCACTCTCGTGGGCTCACCCATCCCCAAGTAAAGCAGAGTCAATCTTGTTTGATCTCGCAGTGCCATCACATACAAATTCCTCCTCACCCCACAAATCAGCCATGGGGGAGGGATGGTTTCAAAGCCTTTGCCAATTGCTGTTGGGAGAAAGGCAGCTCTGAAACTATTTCATCCCCCTATTCATTCAACTCACATGGTCACCAGCTGTGCTGGTGCTGGGGGAAAAGGCAGGTAAGATCCTCACCCTCAAGGATCCCCCAAGTCCCACCCTCCTATGCAACAGGCCCAGAAATCTGAATAATGCACATGACCCTTCCCACAAACCAGATACGTCCTCATGAAAAGTCAACCCGTAATGACTCATTTGAGATTAAACGTAAGAGTAAATAATTTAGCTACAATGACAAATCTGGCAGGGTGTCCACACTTTTGGTTTCTCTGGGTCATATTGGAAGAAGAATTGTCTTGGGCCACACATAAAATACA